ACTCTCCACTCGCTCTGACAAAGGGCCAACGCTCGAAACGTCGGCTTTTTTACTCGTTACGGTGGCCAATTTAGAACTTCAACTTAGTTGATATAACCAAATTATCTTTCAATTATGGTCTGGGTCTAGGTCTGGGCGAAACGCTTTGTGTGCGAAACTCGTTATGGGCAAAACCCGCCGCTTCCGAAGCAACTTCTAAAATCACGTTTATCGAATTGCTTAATTTACTGGCGAACAATTTCTAATTCCGTCGGGCTGAGAAACCAAGTATCATTCGCTCCGACGAAGGGCTAACGCTCGAAACGTCAGCTTTTGTAATCATTACGGTGGCCAATTTACCATTTCAACTTTGTTGATATATCCAAATTATTTCGTTACTCCCACCGACGCAGCCCCAAACAGTTTCTTTCGAAACTATCAGCCTTTATTCAAGTTAAAAAATAAATTGCATGTCTGTCAAACACAGTGTTATCAAAGTCAGAAATATTTTTAAAAGTGTCAGTGGTAACTACGTAACCTTTTATTTTATCATGCAAGACTTTTAACAGATGGAGAAGACACAACTTGGCAAAGCCTCCAATAGTTTTATCATAATGGTACAATACACCTTTTTACTCCCAAGATCTTTTTATCAATTCTCCTTACTGTCTGTTATACAATTCTTATACTGTAAGTTTGGAGAAATTGACATTGGATCAATAAACAATCCTCTATTTGATATCCAGGGCTCAACACTAACTTTTCAACTTACTAGCCAAGTGGCTAAGTGAAATCTTAGATGGTACCACAATTTCAGTTTGTTTACTAGCCAAACTGGCTAGTGGAAATTGAAAACCACTAGCCAGAACATAATTTCTACTAGTCTGTGGCTAGTGGGCTACCATTAGTGTCAAACCCTGTTACTGTCTGTTATACAATTCTTATAATGTAGATTTTGGAGGAAATGACATTGAATCAACAATATAATCCCATAATTGATATTTTTCTTTATTCTCATCACTTGTCTGCTTGACAATGTAATTTGTTATTGTAAGGAGAAAATCTGTCTTGGTCACTCATGGCACTGTTAAAGGATTAAAAGAATCAAATCTTACAAGTAAAGACAGAACCCATCCAGTTCTTGGCGTCTTGTACAGAGTCCAGATCTCAGCCAAGTCAGATGCTCATTAGTCACATTTTCTTGTGGACCTAAAAAATTCAACAACATTTAAAATGAATTCTAAGTATATATAGCTTTATAGAAAGATGTTTTCTGTCTAGTCACGAGTGTGGGACAGAGAAAAAATTCTGAGTCCCCATGAGGAAACGAACCTCAGACCTTCGGATTCCGCACTCCGATGCTCTACCACTGAGCCACAGAGACTGCGGTGAACATTAGGCCCATTATGAAGTTCATATTTGACATGCATCCTGCATACTGGAGAAGAATAGTGGTGGATATTCACGAGCCATGAAGCTACTCTGTAACTATCCACAACTATCACTGAGACTTCAGGAGATGAATTATTGTTTTAGTACATATCACATAGAAACCTAAAAAAATTCGTTTATACCTGGCAATATACTGCAAAATGATCGGAAATTGAACTCTTGACTCAAAAAGAAAGGTTATGTGTTCCTGAAGTCCCAAGTTTCTGAACCTTTGATCTCTACCAGAGAATATTGTTCATGTCTTTTTATAACATGCAGTTGTATGGTAGCGTCAATAAGTTATTCATTACAAGAAATTACCTAAAACATCCATCATTTTATCATTCTTGTGCTTCTCTCCATCCTAAAAAAGGTGTAATTATTAAAAACAAATTTATTTGGAATGCATTGCTGAGGGCAACAAGTCAGATGAAAAATAAAACAGTTTAAGTTTACACTGGTATTTCATGTACTGAGAATCTATGGTGTATCAAAGTCATTTCTGTCCTTTAAGGTCTAAACATCCAGTCTCCTCACTGCCTGAAACAAGTTTTCAGTTATTTTTGCTTAGAAAATTTTGAGGTTCAAGTCAAGCGTCATCTTTTGTTGATATTTTTTTTTATTTTCATCACTGTTCTGCCTGAAAATGTATCTATATTGGCTGGAGAAATTATTTTGGCCATTCCTACCAGTGAAAATGTGCAGAAGCCATTTAAAATGTTGAAAAGCCCATTACTTATATCATACAGAGAGCAGATGCACAGAGCAGTGCACTTTTCCAATGCACTTATGAAAGGTTGTAAATTTTAAAATTTTGCCAGCTGGTACAGCGAAAAGAATGCCAACCCACCCAACTTACAGCTTATCACCTCAGAAGTGGGGAAAGGGGAGGAGTTGTGGGTGATAACTTCTATGGTGAAACAAGTGCAAACCTTCCTGGCTTAAAGCTCACCACTTTAGAAATGGGGGGGGGAAGTTTGTTGGTGGGTGCCATCTTCTACAGTGGAAATATACAAACCCACCTCACTTACAGCTCACCCCCTTTAGAAATGGGGGTGTGGGGTGTCCTAGGTGCTAACTTCTATGGTGAAAAAATTAAAACTCACCTCAGTCAGCTCATCATCTTAGAAAGGGCGAGGTAAGGGGGGGTGGTGTTGTGGGAGAGGTATTAAAAAAAAAATGAGAGAACTTCACAAGGATACACATGTAGCCTTGACAACAAAGATATGGCTTCTTACCAAATAATGTGAATACATAAGTAAGAAGTATGCTTTCTGACTTGTACATTCCTCCAAGAAGAAAGCTGCTCTCTTGAACTCTTTCAGGTCAAAATATGCCTTCCCCAAGGTATATTTATCAAAATCTTTCAAAAATTCTGGATCTCGATAATCAGTCACTGGAAGATGTTCAGGTGTTGTAAAGGATGGAATGGAGAATGCCAACTCAGCTGCCCTGTGCGCAGAAGAGAAAATTTATAAAAACCAAGCTGATTGATGTACAAATATTTTTGACATGCTTTTTTAACACGCGCCTGAATTAGATCTTGTAGCCCACTGATATAGGGAAACACCTTCCACATTTTATTCGCAGCCCTCACTGCTAAGGTTGGAGGAATTATGACATAGGAGTGAAGATTTACAGTAGTCGTAGGAAGAGGGGAGGTTACTCAGTGGGTTGTTGCATTTCAAGTTTAAAAATTAAAGGAATGTTATGGGTGTTCTTTCACTGAGGAAAACCAGGAAAACTTCAAAGTAATCGACAGATCTATCGGTGTTGACGTGAAAAAGGCAACAAATTGATTCCACTGTTACAAATTTACGATTGCCATGGAGCGAATAAAAAAAGTTGGCCCCTGATTAATAGGGGAACTTTGAAAGTTTTTCGTCCTTGGTGCAGCCTAAAAATGCCATATTCCTAAATTCAGTAAGGCTTGATAGCTCTTTAATTAGCTTACTCTTACCACTTAGCACTGTGAAGTAAGCCTCTCTCTGAACATTCTTTGACAGCGTAGAGAAGATCTCTCTTGATTTCCGGCAAAGAAACATTCGACACAGCCGCCATCTTGTTTTTCAAAAGCCCGCGTAAAACGACGGCGAGGGAATGGTACGAGGGTTGCCAGTGTTTTTCTCGGCGCACAATATTTTCTTGTTTTGAAAGTCATTTCATAAGGGACCTGAATATGATATCAGGATATAAGGTTTTGGGATCTTCGACGTTTCCGTGAGACTCACACTCCTACACTTTACATAACTTTCCTTGCAATACCAGCAACAGACATAATCGGAATGCTACATTTCGGTGGAAAAAATCTCAACTTGCGGATGATACCATGATAAGGAAAAAAATTCCGCGGGGTCCGTTATTAGCGGTAACATTAAATGTATTAAACGCACACAAGTAAAAGACTTATTACATGATATTCTCGTGTTGGAATTTCGTCAGCTTTCTGCTGGGTGATGTTGTGTTTTTATTAATTAGTCAAATTAATTTATTAATGTTTTTTTCCCTTTTTTTTTTTTTTTTTTTTGCAGTTACGCGTTCTTTAGACATTTCTAATTTTATTTCCTCCTTCGTAAAGGGACAGTACAAATCACACTTCAAAATAAAAAATCCCACTCCTTGCCCTCAGTGGGGTGATCCCAATCGTTTTGCGGGACTTTTCAGTCGCTGAGATTGTAAGCTTGCGAAAAAATACTTTCTCTTTCATTTTATGAGCACTTTCAAGTGGTTACTTCACTTTGATCTTTGCATCATCGAATGAGGTATTCTTGAAACGAATTTAGAAAGATAAGTAAACGAAGACACATGCTGAAGATCCTTGAGTTACACCATATCATCTTTTTTTGTCTCAGTCTTTATTTGAAATTTCACTTGTGCGCATACTGGAGTTTTCAGTCTTTTCATTCAATAATCACCACCTGAGCTCTCAATTTAGCAAATTCGAAGTGGAAATTAAAACGTATTTCCACGTGAGACTTATCACTTTGATAAAAAAAAGCAGAAAAAGACGAAAAATTGTAATTTTTGAAGAGCTCTGCATTTTCACATAGCCTTCACATCTTATCGAGAAGGTTGAATTTACCACGAATCCTAAAAATACTCGCTGAAAGCGAACACAGTAAAAAAAAAAAAAAAACAATTCTGTATATCAACATCTTTATAAGGTTTATTTTAACAAGTTAAACCGAGATTATGACGATCCTTTATAATAATCGACACTAGTACCAGTTCTTTTAGTTAGCTCTTACCACTTACACAATATTGCTAAGACAAGGTTTGGCTATCGCAACAAGACGTTTCTTTTTATGATCACATCCTGACTCGGAAATTCGACAACGCCTTTTCTTCTTCAGATTTGAACTGTGGTTTGTTTCTATCGCACCATCACCCAGATTGGCTTGTTCAGGTAACAGTAGCCCGCGATACACTTGGTACCACGAGCGCGGCTGTCGTCGACGAGATGATAATTGTCTGAGTAATCTACTATCCTATACATGTCAAGCCACTTGTCAGTGCCGTAGATGTGACTTTCAGAAATACCATAATCTGACACATAGGACAGTTTAGATATTGAGGCGAAAGTCAAAGAAGCATTCCTCTTGTTTATATTTGCCGGGCTATACTTGTAAAACCCATGCACCCTCCTTCGCGCCATCCGAAAATGTGCCCCCATTAAAAACTTGTTGAAGTTTATTTTGTCCTTATTTGGAGCGCCTGTATTCCTGTTGTAAATAACTCGGATGGTATTGACGTCACTAAATCGGAACATGACTTCTTCCCAGTCCCCCATGTTAGGATGGATGTGACTCGCCGCATCTGCGTCTGTGGTTCTTGCTGCTGATGCTGAGAATGTTGTTTTGATGAAGAGGAAGCTTGGAGACACTTTCGTTGCAACTAGTGTCCAACCTCCACCATCGGTCTCCATGTCGCAAAAAGCCTGGAATGAGTCATCTGTCGAGCCTCCGTTTGGATCAATCCAGTAAAGTCCGTTTCCACGACCGTGGCCTTAAAGAATAAAACGTGATCAAAAAGGAAGTTGATTTCCCTCCGGAATAAATGATTTTATGCGGCTTGCCTGGCTGGTTATTGTTTTAATACTGAAGAGCATATTACATACGGGACTTTTTTGCGGGGAGTATAAATGCATCAACAGGCCTCGTGGCGGGCCTCTTTTTCTCCAGCTGCCAGACTGCAAAGGTTTTCCCGCCCGTATCCCTCCCAAGAGTCTTGGTTTAAGTTGGATCCTTCTTGAGGCTAGGGCTATGACGCGGGTTTACCTCCCCTCCCCCCCCACCCCCTCTAATTGACTTTGCTCAAGCAAACAGAAAGCATAAATCAAGTTAAAACCCAAACCAAAGAAAACCTGTCTCATGTTGAAGAGAAAAGTTCGCAATTCTCTTCTCCTTATCAAGGAAGCTTATTTCAAACTCACCTGACTTCAAAATATCTAGACAGTGACGTTCCAGTTCTTTTACGGTAGAACCCTGAGGTTTTTTTTTTTTTTTTCACGGTTTCTCAATAAGAAAGCGTTATCTAGTATAATTTTACTTGATAGTGAAAAAATAAAGAGGCACAGAAGAAAAAAAGAACACAACTAAACGAGAAGATTAAGATCAATTTAATGCAGATTGGCTAACGACACAACCATGACTTATAGACGCCTGACTGAGTTGTGGTATAAATTTTCCGATTGCAATTAGTTTTGATTTAAGCAGACCCTCAGCACCCCAAATGAAATCCATTGTGGTAGTGCTACTATTCGGGTAGTTTAAAGGTTTTTTCTCGCTCGCATCCACACTGTTTTCCCACGACCAAGTTTCAAGAGGGTTGTTCTCTTCGGCTAGGGATAATGTCAGGTAGTTTCGAATGATACTAGTGCACAAATATCAAAAGATTTAACCTGCTTTTAAAATATCCAGACAGTGACGGCCTGGCTTTTGGGGCTCGTGGCCTTGCTTGACTTTCTTGGAGCAGTAAGCAATAACAACCACGATCGACCGTCACAGAATTGCAATGCATTCTGGGATACATTATAACTAACAGTTCCAGCTGTACTCGGAGTGCAGTTGACTGAGACGTCATCGAATTTAAAAATACCCCCTGGATGTTTTCTCACAAAAGATGAGCCGGGTTCACCTTTTTGGCCCTGAAAAATATCATTCCGAGCGATAAAAATTTGATCAACTCTCTTTGTCAGTCGTTTGAGTTAAAAGTTTTTCATAAGAAAGCATGGAAATTAAATAAACAAAATGTGTCCGATGTGTCCTACAATTCCCTCCTTTTGCAATGACCTCAATGAAACGTGACAAAGCTTATGTCTAGGAAGTTTCTTTTTTTTTTTTTGAAAAAAGCCGTTTTTCATGGCCTGAGGGGACAGGGTAAATTTTTAATTAGCTTCTTATTATAATAAATAATAAAAATACTTATATAGCGCCTATACTTTCCAGTGCTAAGCGATTTACAATGCTTCAAAAAGGACTAAAATCATTTACATATGTTTATATACGTAATCACAAAATTACAAAATGGAGAACCTAAGATAATCCGTAAACTCGCTTAAAAAGAAAGGTCTTCAATTTAGATTTGAACTTAATTACATCATCAATTGATCTAATGTCAATAGGCAAATCGTTCCAAAGTATAGGAGCAGTAACTGAAAGAGCCCTCAAACCGTATGTCTTTAAGTTATAGGGTTTCATAACAAGACGCCACTTGTCTGAAGATGAGCGAAGGTACCTTGTAGGTTCATGCAAAAACATGGTTAGGTCAACCAAATAATCAGGAGCTAAATTGTTGAGTCTCTTAAAACAAATAAGATTAATCTTAAAGATTATTCTTTGCTCCATCGGCAGCCAGTGCAACTCCTTTAGAGTATCGCTTATGTGATCAAACTTACTTAAGCAAGCAATCACACGTGCTGGAGCATTTTGGACACATTGCACTTTGTTAATTTCGTACATGGGAAGACCATGCAAAAGTGAGTTGCAGACAGAAATCTAGTTTTGAATTTACAAATGCGTGTACAAGAACTTTAGCTGTTGTGACATTGATATACTTACGAATCTTAGCTATATTTTTTAGGTAGTAGAATGCTCCTTTAACTATGTTGTTATTATGAAAAGACATCATTACGGTGTTATCGAGAATGACGCCAATATTACGTGCCTTATTTGTAGGCTCGATGATATCAGTTCCTATTTTAATAGAAGGTAGCCGTGGGCCGGGGCGGTCTGAACTTAGAATAGAGAAAGAGAAGTTCTCTTTTATCAGTATTTAGTTTCAGTCTGTTAGTAGTCATCCAGTTGGTGATATCATCAAGACAACTTTCAATCCGGGAAATTGTAGTGGTGAAATAAGTAGTAAATAGTACTATAAAGGTATAATGCATTTCGGAATCTCGCATGATCTCGAATCATTTTAGGGCATCACGCATCAAATTATAATAATGGCGTCACACCGACCTTAAATCCTTGTCCTCCTTTATTTCCCTAAAATAGATAGAAAATGAATACGATTTTCAATGTTAAATATCAACTTTAGAAATCCCCAGGAAATAAACAGAGAGAAGGAGAACAAGCTTTTGCAACAACGCGCGCGATACCTGAAAGCCTTGGTGCTTTTAGGTGATAAGCAAATTTTGTCAATTCGTTATAACAGAAGATTCAGCAACCTTGATTCCTTCCATCCCGTCATCTCCCGGCAGTCCTTGCACACCTTGTTCTCCCTAAAATGACGTGATAAAACACACAATGACTTTCTCATTAAACGATGTTGGCCAAAGAGCCCCAAAAGCAATTTATTTCATCGTCATTTGAAAAATCGCTTTCCTAGTACTCCCAATACGAACTTTCTGCGCAAAATGTCATGTCTTTCAAGGATAAAAACAATCAGAATGGTTTTCCTCAGTCACTTTTTACATTCATGCTTTTAGATGATATGCAAAATTTGTCTTTTCAGAATAAAAAAAGATCCAGTGACCTTGATTGCTGTCATCCTGACATCTCCTAGCCCTCCTTGCTCGCCTTTTTCTCCCTAAAATGTTAACGTGATAAAGACACAGTAGCTTTAATTCTCATTAAACGGCGTAGTACAAATTACAAACAACCTCCGTTCCAGCACAATGAAGTCTTCTGGACAAGGGAGGTTCTTTAAAAACGTTTTGCAAGCGTTCAGCCTCCTAAGTATCCCTTCTGAAATCAGAAAGAATGATGCAGAATGACCCGCAGGTTAAAAAACAGTAATAAGGAAGAGAGATCGAGGCATCAATTGGAAGAATGGCGGCCACCGAACAAACATATATCGCAGTTTCCACACCGACCTTTACTCCGGCATTTCTCCCGTCGCGTCCATCACGGCCATCTTTACCTTATTTGATAAAAAAAAAGAAAAACAATTAAAGCGTTATAGTTTCTTTTTCAAGTTGAGCATAGCTATGAAATTCTTTTAATTCCTATAGATAAGTTGTTTTGTTTGCCTGTGGATTTCTTCTTATTGTTTTTTTTGCTTTTGTTTTTACTGGAGGTTTATTTCTATCAACAACAAAATTGTGTAATGTTGTCTTGTTGTTCCATTAGAATACAAGCCACCAAACTGCTTTCGGAGTCGAAAAGACATTTTAAAACAAATAAAGTCAAAGTAGGTGGCTCCTAAGTATTGCACCGCGCATTCTCTTCTGGGCATAAAAATTTCGTAATCAGGAGAATAAGCGCGCGCACGGTGACCTATATTTTTTTTATTGCATAATTTTGGTGTACAGATTATCCCCTTCAAATTGGAGTAATTAAAAAAATCCATCAAAGTTAAAAAAAATTTAGCTAAAAGCGTGCCAGAAGCAAGTTACTCGAGGATGTAAATGACGACCTTAAAAGCAACAACTCGAGGAACGTTTTGAGTCGATAACGTTTATACCTGCGTGATTTTTTTCACAAATTATAAATAAAATTGTTTCATACGCTCGAGACTTTCTACCTATCAAGTTTTTCCGAGTAGTACTATAAAAATCCTTCCTTCCAGCTACCGCGAAATCTAACGTGAACCCGTGAAATGACGTGCATGTTAATTTAAGTGCCAGTACAGGTATAAATGGGGTAAAACATTTAAGGAAAGTTTTAAAAAAAATTGTTTCATCCATTTTTCCTGAGGAATCCCCTAGGCCACGCAACCCTTAATTTCTGGGACTTGCACATTTTAAGTGTTCGTTTGGTGTTCGTTTCTCTTACCGTTTCGGCCATCTCTACCGTCCCTGCCTACATAACAAGAAGAGAACATAAGGTTAATTATTAAAGTACCAATGCCTACAAAGTATTTGAATAATTCTTGAAACACAACTGACGGACAAGAAAAGAAGAATCGACTTACTTTCTTTCCTTACCATCCCGACAAATACATTCCTTTAAGCACGAATTCTCGCACCGAGTTGCTTGTGTTGCATTTGAGCAAATCTAGAAAGCAAACAAACAAACAAATTGATAAAGAAACAGCAAAAAAAAGAAAATATTGTCGTCCATCAAAGTGTTCACCATCAGGAAGATAATTAATCAGGACTATATGAAATCAGTCGAAATCCCAAGAACGAGGTTTTTTTACCGTCACGATCGAGGGTCTCCTGTAGTAAAATATGCTATATGATTTATGATCCCTTCACTTTACTAACTGAACATTAATGATTTCTTATGAAGACTGTTTACCTCACAACTTTTTTTCTACTCAAAGATGCCGTTTACCAGTTAGCTCTCAAAAGGGAATTTTGCAATTTATAGCTGGTTCCTTTTTCTGCTTTTCAGCGCACGAGGTCATCAGCTACCTCCATGTAGTGGTGATAACTAATTCCTATCAAGAGCCCATGAAAGGCCGGGTAATATTACAAGTACTTCATGGAGTTTAAGGACAACAGTTCGTAGCCGTAATCGTGAATGTTGACAGGAATTGCACGTGAACTCAGTATGACAGATGGTGGCATGATGTTGCCACATGTTAACGATTGAAAACTTTTGGCGAAGTTTCACAAGCTTTGCCTTATTTTTGCTAAATTTTCTGTGCAGTGTGGTCTCTTTTACTCCATGCGGCCTTGATGATTTTTAACGAGCATATATTGGTCTCCTTAGTAAAGGTTAAGACAAAAATATGGGCGATTAAACTATGGCAGCTTGAGAACATTCAATAGAAAAGGCTACTCGTAGGACATCTGATCTCAGTGTGTTATTCACTGCCACAAGCATCCGACATGACTGTGTTTCATCGGTAAACGATCAGTGTTCGGTCCTTCTTCAGAATTCTCGCCTATGAGTATCTGTAACTTAAGCTAAGCTAAGCTTAGAGTCTTTTTTTTTCCACCCTTCCACGGGCACAATTTTTAAGGCATGCAGAAGCTGTACGTTGTACCCGAGCAACGGGTTCTGTGTACACTTCGTTCCCTGTGAAAAATTGCAGCCTCAATCGATGCAGCTTTTACTACGTACTCTTTAAAACTGGTGGTTAAAATATTCCACATTTTCCTCGTTTCAAGCGTGTTAGGAAACAAAATTCATACCTTCGAATCATACCGCCTTTCGGAGGGTGACATCGCAGAAATATCAACGAGACAATTAAGCAACAAAAGTGTAAACACCGAGGCGCTCAGTGATTGCATCGCTGCGGACCCGGCGCAAACTGAGGCTCGCTGTATTTTAATGACAGTAAATTTCTCTCCTTCAGTGGGACGACTTCAAAAAATGCGGTTTCTAAAACCTTCCTCTTGCACCAGGCACAATCAGGCACGAGAAGACCAAATTTACGTCACCGTTGCAGGTAAAACTTGGCACTAAATTATGTGGAGAAAGATTGAGAAGTATCCAATTTATTTGACCGGAAGATAGGTTGAAAGCAGCGCGAAAACAAAAAAAAAAAAACCTGGAGTAACTTGAAAATAGTAAAAAAGAAGATTGTTATTGTACTTTTAGGTTACTTTTAGTTTGTAGTCTGTCATGGTCGTGAGAATAACTCTTTCATCGTTTAATCTACTTAGTCATTTATGGGTAATGGTTGAAAATGTTTGAAAAGAAATGACCGAAAAAATGGAGTAACACCACTTTGTGTGAACGGAGTGATTGATGGGGGATGATTTTGACATTGTCCGCCTTTGTCATATTGCTTAGGGTGGTGTTTCCTCAAAGTTTCAAGTTTTGAAATCTCACTGAGGACTAAGATTGCTTGTCTCGTTCATCTATGATCGGAAATTAAATATTTCAAGCAACTCTAAGTTTCATGACGCGATATCACCCGGTAGGTAAAATGTGGAACGAAACATATGCAAAAGGTATTCGGTTGAGTGTGAGTTAACACGAAAATAATTTCGCTATAATTCAAAGTGCACCCCTTAAACGATTACCAGAAAATAAACAAACAAAGGAGACAACACAAAGCTGAAATTATTGGAGAGCTTTGCATTTTCACAATCTATCGCGAGGATTGAAGATGCATACCAAGATTTTTAAAACTAGAAGGCGCTTCACGCGAGAAACAAGACATAAGTTAATCGTGAACAAAGTTAAAAGACAATTCCGTACATCTGCATCTTTAAAATGATTTGTTTTTATTGCAGCTGCTATACCGAGCGAGATTATGACACTCCTTTATAATGATCGACAATAGAGTCAAGCCTTTTAATTAGCTGTTATTACTACCACGACAACGACTGGTTAAACAGTTGTTGCAGCACATAATCATTTTTTCTAAACTCCCATCACCTTACAGAAACTCGACCGCAGCTTTACTTAGTTTTCAACGACAGTTTTTTCTATCGCACCATTACCCAGATTGGTTTGTTCAGGTAACAGTAGCCTGCGATACACTTCGTACCACGAGCGCGGCTGTCGTCAGAAGTGATGCAGTTATTCAAGATTTCAGCATTATACCACATATTGAGCCACTTGTCAGTACCACTATAAATTTCAGATATCCCTCTTTTCGCATAGAAGTGCAGCCTGGATATTGTTACAAAACCAGAGAGGGGATTCTTGTTACTGTGGTCTGCCGGGCTGTACTTGTAAAACCCGTGGATGTCCTTTATCTCATTAAAAGTTGCGCCCATCAAGAACTTCTCGAATTTTTTTTGTCCTTATTTTGGAGCGCCTGCCTTCCTGTTGTAAATAACCCTGATGGTTTTGACGTCATTGAACCGGAACATAACTTCTTCTCAGTCCCCCATGTTAGGATGAATGTGAGTCGCCGCATCTGCGTCTTTGGTTCTTGCTGCTGATGCCGAGAATGTTTTGCTGATGAAGAGGAAGCTTGGAGACACTTTCGTTGCAACTAGAGTCCAACCTCCACCATCGGTCTCCATGTCGCAAAAAGCCTGGAATGAGTCATTTGCCGAGCCTCCGTTTGGATCAATCCAGTTAAGTCCGTTACCACGACCGTGGCCTTAGAGAATAAAAAGTGATTAAAAAGGTTTTCGATTTCTCTCCGGAATAAATGACTCTATGCGGCTTGCCCGGCTGGTTATTGTTTTATAACTGGAGAGCATATTTCATACGGGACTAATATGCGGGGATTATAAATTTATCAACAGGCTTGGCGGCGTGCCTCTTTTTCTTCAGCTGTCAGACTGCAAAGGTTTTCCCGCCCGTATCCCTCCCAAGAATTTTGGTTTAAATTGGATCCTCCTTGAGGCTAGGGTTACGACGCGGATTTGCCTCCTCCCCACCCCCTCTGGTTGATTTTGCTTGAGCAGAAAGGAAGCATAAATCAAAAAAACCTAGACCAAAGACTGAGAAACTGTCTCGTGAAGAGAAAAGTTCGCAATTCTCTTCTTCTTAATAAGGAAGCTTTATTTCAAACTCACCTGTCTTCAAAATATCTAGACAGTGACGTCCAGGTTCTCTTGCAGCAGAACCCTTCCAGCTAATCACCAATGGTAGCCAAGCTTTACCATCACACCATTCCAAAGACTTTCGGGAAGCATTGTAGCGAACAGTGCCAGCGATACCTGTTGTGCACAATTCAGTTAAGACACAAGACTCGCCTTTTTCACCCTAAAAGCAAAAATGCGATAGAACAGTTTCGTAAAGTTGAGTTTATGTACACAACATTAGGTTGAGTGAAAGGGGTCAAGATTAAGACAGAAGGACGTCTACCAGGGCCATAGGCCACAATTAATATAAGAGCTTTACGAAAGAGCTAAAATTTCAGTTTTGTCTTAGGATTTTCCAAAACTACAGGTCTGACGTTTCTTTTTTTCTTTTCTCTTTTTTTTGCTCTATCAGTTTTTTAACAAACCTTTTCTCCGTTTCTCCCGTCTCTACCGTTGCGGTCATCTCTACCTTGGACACCTGGCGGGCCCTGAATACCCTGGATACCTTGTATATCTTGATAAAAGAGGAAAAAAAGATAGTGTGATGCTAATGTTCTGAATATCCTCGGTTGTTGGTGGAGTAGAACCAGGCGTAAAGCATGTACGACCTTACCTTCCCACTAAGTTACGCGTCGATCAGTTTGAAGCCTCATTATCCCCCGAGAAACCCTGCAGGTATTTGAACTTTTGAAGAATTATCACCGCGCCCAACTTATTGATCGACATTCAGCACTACAAACGACATTCAGCACTACAAACGTCGCATAAGGAAGATTCCGACCGCATTCCATTCACTCTCACGTTTCACCATCACAATCACTCAGTTAAATCCATCATTCTTATTACTTCAAAACGATCCAGAGACAAGCACTATCTTTTCGTAGCCTCCGCTCATTTCATTCAAACACGACAAAAACATAGGCAATTTTTTGGTCAGAAGTTCTTTTCAGACCAATGACCAACCAGGCACTTTTAAATGCGCTCGTGCACGATGC